TTTCATGCTCCTTTGTAAGTGAGGGGCTAGGGGGCCTGGCTGGGAGTGAGCCGACGTCCAAGGCCCAGCTTAGAGCTGGTTTCGGCTAACAGATGCACTTGGGGTAACTCAGGGTGAATCAGCTTCAAATCCTCTTCCGCACTGTGGGCTGGTGCTCAGGATTTTCAAAATGGGACCCCATACTCCCTTACCTACCTGTCCTGATCCCCCACACACCAACCAGACCCCGGGACAGGGGAAGCCCTTGTCCACACTCCCCTTCCCACCGAGAAAAGGGACACAGAGCCTCACAGTGTGACCGCACCGCTGGGAAGGGACACAGAGCCTCACAGTGTGACCGCACCGCCGGGAAGGGACGCCGGGAAGGGACACAGCCTCACAGTGTGACCGCACCGCCGGGAAGGGACACAGCCTCACAGTGTGACCGCTCCGCCGGGAAGGGACTCAGCCTCACAGTGTGACCGCACCGCCGGGAAGGGACACAGAGCCTCACAGTGTGACCGCACCGCCGGGAAGGGCTGCAGCGCCTCACAGTGTGACCGCACCGCCGGGAAGGGCTGCAGCGCCTCACAGTGTGACCGCACCGCCGGGAAGGGCTGCAGCGCCTCACAGTGTGACCGCACCGCCGGGAAGGGACACAGAGCCTCACAGTGTGACCGCACCGCCGGGAAGGGACTCAGCCTCTCAGTGTGACCGCACCGCCGGGAAGGGCTGCCGGGAAGGGCCGCAGCGCCTCCCTCTGCCGTGTTTCCGCCAAGCACAGGCCGAGTGCGGGCGGCCGCGTGGGCGGGACAGGCACAGAGCCGCACTGTCTGCCAGCTGCCCTCGCCCAGCCCTGGGAGCCCCTGCCGTCCACGGTGAAAGGCTCCATTCACGCCACGCGGCCTCCGACAGCCAGCTGACGCTCGGGCCCAGGTGCAAGCCCTGCCCGGTCTGCGAGACCTGCCACGCCTCCACCCTTTCCCCGGGGGAAGCGAAGCTGCAGCATCACCGTCAAGGACTTTGTCTGGTTTTCTTACCAACAAGGACAAGCAGCTGCATAACCACAGGATCACGAGCAAACTCAGGAAACTCGAAGATGCACCGAAACCCTGTCCCAGTGAGTTTCCCCAATCACCCCAATCTCCTTCCTGCACAGGCCGGCAGGCCGCCTTCTGCCCAGTGCCCGGCCCGTGACTTTCCCTCCAGCGAGGCCTCTGCCACCCACACACACCCCCCCTGCCCCAGCCACCCCCCAGCCACACCTGCTCACTCGCTCACTCGCTGCATCATGCTGGGAAGCCCTCCTCTCGCGTCCAGGGGGATGAAACCCCCACAGCCCCGGGCTCTGACCTCCCAGGGGCTCCCCCTCTCCCAGCCTCTCACCGTGCGGACGCCCCGCTCAGGCCAGTGCCGCCACACCTGCCTGCCGCGGGCCGCGCAGGCTGCAGAAAACGCCACTCTTTTTAAATTCGAAATCTACTACGCAGCTGGCTTGACCATCTCCCTGCAGTCACCCTGACCACCACCTGCAGAGGACCCAGGCCACCCCCAGCCCTCCCTTCTGCCCCCCTCATCTCCCAGCCACCTGGGGCTCCCGTCCATGCTCGGTGCACCAGCCCGGGTTTCCGGGGGTCCCCACTGCACCCAGCCCGGAAAGCTAGCTGCGTGAGGTTCTCACACCTGTGTCTTCCTGCCCCCCTCCCCGGTCTCAATTCACCGGCCCCTTCCCCTGCTCCGGCCTCCCGGCGGCTGGGCCTCCGATGTAGAGGCAGTCAGAGCCTGGCCTCCTGCTCCCGGCCCCTCCCGGCCCCTTCAGGGCTGGTGCTGTGCGGATTCCCTCCTGCAGCCCTCTCCCCAGTGGGCCCTCCCATGATCTCCACATAAAGCAGCATGACCCCAAGGTCACAGGCCACGTGCCAGCTGAGAAACCGGAAGAACAGCCTCACCTTCCTCTACATCACTGTTCCCGATCGGCACGCTGCCTTCCTCCACATCCACATCTGCCCGGCCTGGCCCTGCACCCAGCCCTGCCCTGGCCCACCCAGGACCCTTCGCTGAGCGGGCCACTTCGCTCCTCTGCAAAGCCCTTCCAGGCCGCCACGCCTTCAGTCACACCTCAAGCTCCAGCCTGTGTGGCCCGTGCTAGTGAATGCTCCTACACCGAGCAGTCAGGCCCAGGCTTTGGAACCCACAGGCCTGCATTTACCACGTGAAAAGCCAGGGCATCCTGGACAAATATTCAAAACCAGTGACCTGGTGCACGCATTCCTGCACAGTGAAAGGAAATAATCAGAAGGTGGCCCTGGCGGTGGCCGCCAGGCGGGACACGCCCTGGAGCCAACCTCCTGCCGTGGAGTCTGTGGCTCCTCCCGCAGGTGGGGTCCCAAGGCCTGGCCTGTGGGGACCGGGCTGAAACCAGCTCTCCCACATCCCCTGAGGGGTCCCAAAGCAAAGTTGCAGTCATACAAGGTGTGGGACGAAATGCAAGTGTGCAGTAACCAGATTTGGGCCGACAGTGCCCCAGCCACAACATAACCCATGGCCGACCGGCCCCGAAGGAACCGGGCTCCCTCCTCTCGGGTTTTGGGGTGCATCACCCGAGATCCGCTGCTGCCAAGTCACTCAGCTCAGCGAGGTCAGAGCGACAGGCCGGACAGTAGGAGGGCCTTAGCCTGTTGGCCTTTTATACATATAGATGAGTCAGCTATACACTAAGGAGCCACTCCAGGCTCGGGGCAGCGTGGAAATGTGTACGAGGAGCCTCGCCCAGAACCGCACCTGCTGAACACGGCGCACCTGGGATACAGCACGTGTGGGTGTCTGCAATCTCCTTGGAAGGGAGCCGCACATCTGAGGGTGGCACAGGAAGTGTCAGGGCAGAGCAGGGAACCCAGGGGAGCCCAGCCGGAGTCCTGTGCTCCTGGGCCTGTGCAGGCAAGGCTGGCATGCAGGACTCCAGCCCCGGCCCCAGGCCCCAGCACCCTCCTCCAGCTGTCTCTTCTACGAGCAGACAGGGCATTTTAATCAGCTCCCCAGGTGATCTGGATGCACATTAAAGTTTGAAAAGTACTGCTTTAGACAATGCCCCCCTTTCAGCCCATGCTCCCTCCAAAACACCATAAATGTTTCAGGCCCTGGGCTTGTTTTTCGTGTATTTCCCACAATGCTGCACGGGAGGCAGTGCACACAGTGCAGCAGGAGCACTAACTCTGAAGCCAAACTACCCCATTCCAACCTGCCACAGGGGCTGAGGGAAGACCCCAGGAGGCACGCACAGGGCCTGGCACCCAGCAGGCCCGGGCCAGCAGGCTGCTCAGCGGCTGCTGTGAACCGTGTGCCGTGGGGGGGCTGTCTCGGAGGCACTGACATACAAGGAAGACCAGTCACAACCATAATTTGGGAGAAGAGACCTCTAAGCAGAAGAAGTGAAAAATGATCAGGGGGGTAGCAGCTCGGACCCCAGCCTTGGGGCTGTGGCGTGTAATTTAAGCAGGTCCGGAGCCACTGGAGGGACGATGTGATATGCCTTCAAAGAGCACTCTGGGCCTGTGTGAAACCAGCGGGAGGCCACCTGGGACGCTCAGAAATGGTGAAGGCAAGAGAGGAACCTCAGCCTGGATGACACGCTGTGAGAAGCAGCTCGGGCCGGGCTGTTTGGGACCTGGCGGAGGGGCTGCGGCGGCTCCAGGTCTGCAGCCTGAGCCGCTAAGTGAGGTACGAGATTTGGCCCCGGCGTCCAGGCGGGAGCAGGTGAGGACGGCGGCCGGTGGCGTCTGACACTGACATCTGGAAAGTGGGGAGAGCGCCCGCCTGTCTTGGGGCGTGACTACTAGCCTTGAGCACAGGACAGAGCCCTCCTTCCGCCATCTCTCACTGCCCACGTGTGCTCACGGGCACCACGAGAGCATCTCAGGACAGGGTGGCGGTGGTTTCTGGAGAGCGGTCTGTACAGGGTGTGGGGCAAAACCCAAGTGCGCATACCCGATGCCGCCTTAGGGGAGGATTTGTAGAGCGGGGCCTCAGCAGTCGGGCGAAGAGGGGAGAAATTGGGGTGCAGAGTGGGTACTGGTCCCCAAAGACCGGCTCCCCTGACAGAAGAGAAGCAGAAGCGGGACAGCCTGGGGATGGGGAGAGAGGACTGTCTTCCATGGGAAGCCCAGCAGGAGGGGAGGCGCGATGGTTCAGGGAAGAAGGGGCCCAGCCTGTGGAAGGATCTGGAAAGATTAAGGCCTGGGGGTGCCCTTACTTCTCCTAATGCCTGGAGGCCCCACGTACCCTCGGCAGTCTGGGCCGGGGGACAGCCAGGGCTTTCCTAGCAGAAGGAAGCGTCCTCCTGCTGGTGGACCAGGAGCCTGGCACACCCACCAGCCTGCCGGCGCCACGGACCCGGGGCCAGCCCTCACCTGTTCCCGTCACCTAAGTCCTCAGCGAAACCTGAGCGAGAGCCGACCCTGGGCCAGATGCCTCCGAAGCCACGCTCCTTTGTTCAGCTCCTCCGACCGCTCCCCACACGCCGTCCTGGGTGCTGGGGGCCCAGGAGATCCAGGCCCCAGGCCAGGCGGGGGCACAGGGCGCAGGGCGCAGAGAGGGGCACAAAGCCAGCAGGGCCGTGAGGGCAACCTCAGCGCCTCCGACTCGGAGAGCGAGCCCTGGGCGCGGGTGGAGGTGGCCTGGCCTTGCCCACCACCTTCTCCGGGCAGAGCCAGTTCCTTCCCCGGCTGCCCCTGCTCCCTCCGCCGGCGCCGCCGGTCCGCCGGCTCCTCCTCAAGTCCCACGGGCCTGGCCCAAGCCTGCGCTCAGCACCCGCCTCGGAAGCTGCTGAAGGCCGGGAAGACGGCGCCGCCGCCGGGGCCGGGCCCCAGCCCCGTCCTGCCACTTCCTGGCTGTGTGGCCCGGGGCAGGTTGCTTAACCTCTCTGCGCGCCCGTGTCCCTGCAAACCTGGCCTGGCGAGCAGGTGCACCTCCCGCCCCCCCCCCCCCCCCCGGGGCCGCCGGGGCCGCGCAGGCCCGCCGCTCACCCAGTTCCCGAAGCCGAACTGCTCGATGGCGTCCAGCAGCAGCTGCTCCTCGCGGCTGGTCCAGCCGCCCTCGGCCTCGGGCCCCCACAGCGTGAAGCGCCCGCCGTCCACCAGCTGGTAGCCGTGGTAGCGGCGGTGGTGGCCGATCTCGGCGCCGGCCGAGAAGCACTCGGGGCACAGCTCGATGTCCTGGCACTCAGTGCAGCGGAAGCGCAGCGGGCTCACCTCGGCCAGGCAGTACACGCAGTACTTCTTACCGAGCTCCGCCATCTTCCCCCGCCGCCGCCGCCGCCGCCGCGCCCGCCGCCGCCGCGCCAACCGGGCCGCCGCTGCCGCCGCCGCGCTCCAGCAACGGCCGCCGCCGCCGCCGCGCCGCCCCGCCCAGGCGCCCCGGAGCCCCAGCCGGGCCGCGTCCCGCCTCAGCGCGCAGGCGCCCTCGGGCCCGGCCCGGCCGCCGCCGCCGCCGTCGCCGCCGCGCCGCCTCGCGCAGGCGCCCCGCGCGCGCCACCGCGCGGGGACTCGGCCCGCCGCTCTGCGCCTGCGCGCCCCTCGCGCCGGCCGCCGGCCACGCCCAGCGCCTCCCGACGCCACGCCCCGGCCCGGGCGCTGGGAAGCCGGCGGAAAGGGAGCCCTGGGGCCGCGCCACGCCCTCCTCGGCGCGAGCCTACGCCCTCTCCCAATCAACGCCGCCGGTCGCCCGACAGCAGCCTCCCATTGGCTTTGGTCTGCTGGAAGGCGGGGAGAAGGGGCGGGGCGTCGGTCAGACGCCTGGCCAATCGCCGGGCCCACCGCGAGCGCCCTGGTTGCCCCTGGAAACCTAACAGCCGGCAGCTAGGCTCACCGCGCCGGCGAGTCGGGGAGAGATGGAAAGCCACTCGGAGCTCAGTGGGGACTCGGAGCAGGAGCACGACGATGTGGCCAGCACGGCCTCGCGGCCGTCCGGGGGCAAGGTGCCCTCTGGCCTCCAGTCCCCAGCCGAGTCCGCGGAGCCGGCAGACGTAGAGACTTCGGAGAGAGGCTCTACCTTGGCCGAGCCCGCCGAGCCCCTGGAGCCGGCCGAGGCGGACGAGCCCGCCGAGCCCGCCGAGCCCGCCGAGCCCACCGAGCCCCCCGAGCCCGAGCCCAGGGAAGGGCCGTCGGCCACCGAAGCTGAGGGCGAGGTGGTGCCCGGAGCGCGGGAGGCGCCGGCCGAGGCCGAGGAGGTGCCCGGAGCGCGGGAGGCGCCGGCCGAGGAGCCCGCCGCGCCGGTGTCCGAGGGCGGGCCCGAGGAAGCCGAGGAGGAGAGGGCGGAGGCGCCCGCGGAGGAGGAGGGGGAGAGCCGGGAGGAGGAGAAGAAGAAGAAGAAGAAGAAAAAGATCAGCCTGGCGGAGGTCTCGCCCATCCCGGAGGCCGAGCGCGAGGGGTCGGAGGAGGAGGCCGAGGGCGAGGGGAGCGCGAGGAAGAGCTTGTTGGAAGGCGGCGGGAAGGCGCCGGACGAGGACGTGAGGGATGAGGACGTGGAGTGGACCGAGGAGGTGCAGCGGCAGCAGGAGCAGCAGCTGCGCTCCGAGCTGCTGGGGCAGTACCGCACCCTGACGGTGGAGCGCAGCCACTACCAGCGCTACAACATGTTCCTGCAGCACAAGATCTACGAGGCGCTGCGCAAGAAGAAGGGCCTGGACGCCGCCGAGGTGATGCCCGAGAAGGGCGCCGAGCCCGAGGCCCCCGAGAAGGAGGAAGCCTACCTGCACCACCTGGCGCTGCTGGAGGAGCTCAGGAAGCAGGAGGCCGACGACCTGGACTGGTACCACCAGGAGCTGGACCAGCTGAAGCAGCAGTGCAAGGAGAAGGTCTCCAGGGTGGAGAGGGAGTGGCGGAAGTTCCAGGCGCTCAAGAAGCAGGTGGTGCTGCAGGCCATGGGCAGCTGCCGGCTGCGGGGCGGGCGCCAGGCCGCTCTGCTCGAGGTGGAGCAGATCCAGGCGCTGGAGGACAAGAAGGAGAAGGAGATGAGCGCCGTGAGGCTGGAGAACGTGCAGCTGAAGCAGAGCCTCGTGCACTTCGAGACCAGGATGCGGGCCCAGGAGGACACGACCGAGGGCCTGCTCCTCATCGACTTCGAGCAGCTCAAGATTGAGAACCAGACGTTCAACGAGAAACTGGAAGAGCGGAACGAGGAGCTTCTGAAACTGCACAGCAAGGTGAACAACAACGTGCAGATCATCACCCACGTGAAGGAGAAGCTGCACTTCATGGACATTGAGAATGCAAGCAAAAAGGCCCAGCTTCTGGAGGTGGAGGCCCAGGTGGCCCTCCGGAGGGACATCCTGACCAAGACGAAGCAAGCCCGGGACAGCCTGCGCATGGACAACATCAAGCTGAACCGGAAGTGCGGGCTCCTGGGCAAGGAGTCGCTCCTCCGGGACATGGAGGACAAGGTGGTCAGGACCGAGGAGCTCAAGGAGCACCTGGAGCACCTGAAGCGCCACCATGAGGGGCTGACCCTGTCCTGCCGGGGCGTGAGGCAGAAGATCCGGGAGGCCAAGGCCTTCCTCCCCTCCTGACCGGCCACTCTTCCCTGTTAGCTTGTATTCTCCACGCTTCGCCATTCTTTAAAAGGCGTGTGGTATTTAGGACGGAACTACATTTTTGTATTTATCTAACAATTTTTCAGCTTCCAGATGAGTGCCGAGCACAAAATTGGGTCAGCAGTCGGTTTTATGTGGGGGCAAGTAAAGCAGGCGCAAACACCACAGGAAGTGCCTCCCTCCTCAGGAAACGCTGTCCGAAGCCTTTACCTCTGAACGATCCATTACGCCAGCGACCTGGTGCCGAGAACTCCTTTCCCATAGGCCGGAGGGTCCCCACTGGGCAGGATGCCCTCAATTCCTGTGCTGATCATTAAACATCCGAATTTATTAAGCTCTGCACTCCCAAGTCTGTTTCAATTCAAACCTCATTTAACTCCCTTATATTGACCTCGCTTCTGGGTTAATAAAAACACCCAGGAAACATTTGGGAAACGGCAAACAGGAAAGGGGCTTGGGTTCACTGTCCCTTCGCTCCGTGAAAGGAGACTCAGTCTGTGCACCATTGGAGTTGGTTTCCGGCTCAATGGCAGTCTTCAAGTCGTGGGCCTCCCAAGGAAAGCATTGACCTCCACCGATAAAGGCAGTCTTGTTTCCCAGCGAAGACAGCGGTGGCTGTGTTTTGCCAGGTGCGGAATGTATGGCGTGGTGAGTGCCAACTGCCCATGAGGCAGCAGGACCCCACTCTGCACGTGACTTTACTCTGTCTTATGTTAAAGTGCCCATTCCCGGTGTTAACACAGGAAATAGCTGATCGGCCTAGCTCCTTAGTTCAGATTGGTGATTAACATTTTCAGGGGTAGGGGTAATGCTTTTGGAGCTAGAGGCTTGGTTTTATTTATTCTTTTTTTTAAATATGGTTTTATTGATTTCAGAGAGGAAGGAAGGAGAGAGCGATAGAAACATTGATGAGAGAGAAACATCAATGGGCTGCCTCCCGCCTGCCCCTCGCCGGGATCGAGCCTGTAACACAGCAAGTGCCCTGGCCGGGAACTGAACTGTGAACTCTAGACACTCAACCAGCTGAACCACACTGGTTGGGCCGTTTTATTTCTTCGTAATCTTTGGTCACATTTTAAGCTGTGTGGATCTGGGGTTAGAAGTGTTCCCTTAGCCCTAACTTGAGTGCATCACAGGGTGACCTGTTTTGTGGTGCTAAATACCTGTTAAGATGGCAGGAACCCCACTCCAGGCCGGTGACTCTGCTGGCCGGGGGATGTCGCAATAACTTTGTCTTTCGATGCACCTCGTCTTAAAGTGTTTTTCCTTTGATGGCAATAAAGGTGGACTAAAACTCCTTTTTAATCCCACATCTTGAACACACGTGTTGTAATATGTACTAATCCTGCCACAGACTTAATCCAGGGGACGGAAAAGCTCACCTCCTGCTCCCCCTCCCCGGCCCCCACGGGTTCTGTGTTTCCTCTGCCTGTTCGCCGAAGCCAGCGCAGGAGTAAACGCTGGCAAACAGAAGGTTCTTTGAGCCTCGTACGAAAAGCACCATGGGTGGTTCTGTGGCTGGGAAACTTCCGAGTACAACCACCACTCTGCCTGGTGCCTTCACCCAGCAGAGGGCCTTGGTCCGCGCCCATCCCTTTGGCTCACGAGAAGGAAGCGGCATCCAGCTGATTTTGCCACGTTAGCAATTGCCCAGGTAGAACGGAACACCCTCATCGGCCTTGGCCTCAGCAGCAGGCAGGTCTGAGAGTGGTGGCAGAGAGGGCTGTCTGGGCACCACGTGGGGCCTAAGACATCGGAGTGGATGCCCCGAAGCTGCTGGTCTCCATCCCACTGGTCCCAGTCTCCTGAGGATGGGTGGGGAGGCAGGCCCGGGGGCGCATTCCCAGGACAGGCGTGCAGGCTGAGGGTGGTGCGAGGGGCGTACGGGGACGCAGCACCTGGGGCAATCACGGGACAAACAAGCGAGAGCAGCCCTCAGGGCTCCCTCCTAATCCTCACCCAAGGGTGTTTTCCCATTGATTTTCAGAAGGAGTTTGGCCTGAGGGCTGACACTCAGTAACCACTGTGCACACCGGCCAGGAAGAGGCTGGCCCGCTTTAGGGCCATGGTTATCAATGCCCCTCCACTTCTATCCCGAATGCTACAATGTTACTGTTAATCAGGAGACCAAGCTGTTGGTTACTTCGTAACGTTGTTTCTAAATAGGTTAGAGGAGAGCTTTTAATCACAATGGAGCACTACTCAGCCATAAAAAAAAAAGAAAATGTTACCCTTTGCAACTGCCTGCATGGACTGGAGAGCACCATGCTGAGTGAAATAAGCCAGACAGAGAAAGACAGGTACCGTATGACCTCTCAAGTGGCATCTAATGAACAAACTGAATAAGCAAAACAGAGGCAGACTCACAGAGCAGGCTGACAGCTCTCGGAGGGTGTGGAAGGATTGAGCAAGAAAGAAAAAAATTAGAAAACCCACTTTTACTGAACAAAAAAGATGTTGGGTACCCGATTTAACCTTGGTTGCAGAGAAGGAAAAGGATGCTTAGAGACCACAATTCTGTTCCTGTCCTTCAGCTCACTGCTGCGTACGCTTGGGCTTCTTTTGGATGGAGCTGTTGAGACTGGGCAGAGGCCTCTGCCCCTCCATCCACGGGGGGCCTCCAGGGCTCAGGCATCGCGACGTAGCTGCAGGGAGGAGGAGGAGCAGCTGCAGGGAGGAGCCGGAGCAGCAGGCGTGAGGCAGCTCCACACCCTGGGACCTGAGGCCATGCCGAGTTCCCGGTGGCAGGGAGTGGGCAGGAGCCTCACACTGCCCATCCAAGGCTTCCTCTGCCAGTCCCCCGGAGACCCCCTTCCTGTGGCCCAGCTGGTGACCACCATCTCTAGCCCACCGTGGTGTCGCCTCGCCTCTCCGCCCCTGGTGTCTTCCATCTCGCCTTCCCGGCTGGCAGGCTCCCACATGTCAGGTGCCGGCTTTTGAACTCGCAGCTCCTCTCCCATTTCAATTAGGAAAACATTCCCCAGCCTCTAGGCACAGCTCCTGCAAGGCCCTGAGGCCCGCACCCTGGGGCAAGTCTGGCCTGCTTCTCTGGAGTGGCACCTCCCACACAGGAGGCCTCCAGGCCTCGCCCCAAAGCTGCGGAGGTCGGAGGTCGGAGAGGAGGTCGGAGATCCACTGGAGGAGCAGGCAGCCCAGGCCTGGGGGCAGGCGGGCTCTCCTCTCCGGGGAGGGTGTGTCTGCAGAGGCGCTCGGAGCCCGGGACCAGTGGGAACCCACCCTGCCACGCACTGGCTGCGGGCGCCCCCGCAGACCACTTGTCACTCCTTTGGAATGGCACAGTGACAGAGCAGCTGCGCAGAATGAATGAGGCCACAGAGCACTTAATCAAGGGTGGACAGCCAGCGATGTGACCACAGGCTGTGGAGAGGAGAAACAGTGGCCAGGGAGCGAACAGTTCCCTGGTGGCAGAGGGGGGCTGTCTGGGCACCACGTGGGGCCTAAGACATCCGGAGCTGCTGGTCTTCATCTCCACGGCCCCAGTCTCCGGAGGATGGGTGGGGAGGCGGGCCCGGGGGCGCATCCCCAGGCAGGCGTGCAGGCTGAGGGTGATGCGAGGGGCGGACGGGGTGGCAGCACCTGGGGCAGTCACGGGGCAAACAAGCGAGAGCAGCCCTCAGGGCTCCCTCCTGGGCCTCCCGTTCTCGGCCTGAGCAGCTGGCCCGACAGGATCCACCATAGGCACCACCGTGTGGCCCTGAGATTATCCCCACTGCCTCGTCACCCCGAGGATCACTCCAGCCACCCCTTAAAGGGGCAGTATTAGTGGTGTCCGCTCACAGACGGGAACCGGGCCCACACTAGCCCGGGGCGCCCGCTGATGAGGGAAGGAGGCTTGGACATCAGCCCTGGCTGACAGGCTCCAAGCAGCTTCTGAGGAAGCGGGATCAGATGGGCGGGCGCAGGCTCAGGAGTAGGGCAGATGAGTGGCAGACTCGTGGGAAATGCTACAGCTGGGGCAGTCAAGGTTGAGGGGGGCAGCCAGTCCATGGCTCCCCTTCAGCTTGGAAGGGGCGCCCTAAAATCTCGAACCCCTTTACCAAATTACCCCAACTGTACCATCCTTTTGATCTCAGTGATCCTATGAAATACTGGGACAGTATAACGCTCCAAGTCAAATATTTGCCATACTTTACGGTGAGAACTTCAATTTTAAACCAGATTACAGGGAATGTAACAATTTTATATGACTTTTATTAAATAAAACCATGTATTTACAATTCAAAAAGGCCTGATTTGATACACTTTACCACATAAGATGAAAGGCTAACTGTACAAGCAATTAAAACAGGGTCCGTAGCAAGTGTTAGCAGATGTTTTCTACCAGCAAACTATTGGAAATAGTCACACTGAGTAGTTAAGAAGGCTCCTCTACAGGGGACCTGTCTCCAGCGGAGTCCTGGAGCCTGTGCCGCTGGCTGCACCCGGGCCAGGCCGGGAGCGGGAGGGGCGGGCTCCGAGGCTGGGCCTCCAGGTTTGTTTCCAGTTTTCTTAATGGACAGTCAAGCGGTGTAGCCCTCTGTGGAAGGGGCTCTGGTGTGGATGAGGACTTCCTGGCCTCTGAAGGGGACAGAGCCAGCCAGCCAGACCTCATGGGGTCCCTGAGCAGGTCACAAAAACCTTTTCCGAACTAGAGATTTGCAAGTATTCCGATGACATGGAATCTTGGTTAAAAATGCAATGCAGCTCTGGCCGGGGTGCTCAATGGTTAGAGCGTTGGCCTGTGGACTGAAGGGGTTGCAGGTTTGATTCTTGGTCAAAGGCATGTACCTTGGTTGCAGGTTCCCCAGCCCCTGTCAGGCACCTGAGGGGTGGGGGCAGTAAATCAATGTGTCTCACGTGGGTGTTTCTTTCTCTCTCTCCCTCTCCCTCCCTCCTTTCTCCCTTCCACTCTTTCTAGGCATCAATGGAAAAAATATCCTCAGGTGAGGATTAAAACAACCCAGAAACTTAATGCAAAATGCTATCCAAAGAGGTGTCAAGCCGACAAAACCCGTTCAGGGCTGGGCCTGAACGCACAGATGCACTCTGAGGCCCACTTCCTGTCCCAGCTGAAGGTGCATCCTATGGGGTAAAAGGTGCAGGTCTCGGGAACAGGAAGCGCGCCGTAGAAGGAACGGCCCACCTGTATGTGCAGCTCAGCGGCTCCATTCAGCCTCGGGGTGTCGGACCCGCTGCCCTGTCTGGAGGGGCAGAGCCCCAGACCACAGGGAAGATCTCCTCCCCGAGGTCAGTGAGTCAGCACGTAAAGGCGAGGCAGAAAGCGGTTCCCGCGCTGCTCAGCAGCTGCCCTGGGGAGTGCCCGGAAGACGGGAACAGAGACGGTTCCGGCCGGGGAAAGGCCGTGCAGAGCGGGGCCAGGACGGGGCAGGAGGGCGGCCCGGCATGCAGCCGCTATCGCACTGCAGGTGTCAGCATGGACACGGCAGGCATAGAAAGCCTAACAAGATGCACAGCCAGCTTCCCCCGCCCAGGCCTCCTAGTGACACACCGGCCACTGAGGGCGCTCCCAACAGCAGACATAGGGCCGGCGGGGTGCTCCTGGCTGGCAGTCCAGCCGAGAAGGGCCGGAGCCAGCCCCAGCGCGCACCACACGGCTGCCTGTGTCCCCCACCCGCCCAAAGGTCAACACGCCAATGGATTACCCCTGGGAGCCTGTTTCCATAGAGAGGTGCCGGTCCTTTGGACTACTCTGTGCAAAAATTAGTCATTTATTTGAAGTTGGATAACCAAAGTCCTTAATACAAAGTTCTCAAAATTCATCAAGGAGAATCTTGAACAGAAAAGGTACTCGTGAACTTGGGGAAACCAGCTAGAACGGAAAGGCTGACAGAAAGAACATGAAAATGTGACGGGACTTGGGGCCACTGGGTATGCTTCCCGGTCCTCATGGGAGTCCACCTTTAGGCCAAATGTGTGAGAGGAGACAGGCACTCAGGGCTGACGCTGCTGTCAGGTGACAAAGAACAGAGCAAGGGAGCAGGGCCCCACACACACTCACACACTCTCTCATACACACACACACTCTCACACACTCACACACTCAACACACTCACACACACAACTCACACATTCATTCACACACACACACACTCACATTCACACACATATAAATACACTCACGCTCACACACTTTCACACACACACATTCTTACACACACACACACCACACACTCACATACACACTCTCTCTCACACACACACTCAACACACTCACACACACTCACACATTCACACACACACACTCACATTCACACACATAAACACACACTCACACACTCACATTCACACACACATTCTCACACACACTCACACTCACACACACACTCACACTCACACACACTCACACTCACACACTCACACACACACACTCACACACACTCACACACACATTCTCACACACACACACACACACACTCACACACACACACTCACACTCACACACACACACACACTCACACACACGCTCTCTCACACACACACTGTGCTGTCCGCACTGCACACCAAAGAGCAGGGCAGTCTGACACCCTGACTGAAGGGAGCCTGTGTCCCTCCTGTCTCCAGGGCTTCAGGGTGCCTGCTGCCTGGGGCCCTCGGGGTGCAGAGCTGCTCCTGCCACTGCCTACGACCGGGCGAGCTCCGGGAGCACAGGGCTCCCGTGGGCCCACGCGAGCACGTCAGCCCTCGCGCTGTCACAGGCAAGGCAACATGGTAAGACGTCACCCCGAGGGCCGGTGAGCCCCGGGGCGTCCACGAGAGCTCGGGCCTTCACGCATCTTTGGCAGGTGGGCTTCCCACACGGGCCTGTTTCCGGAGCGGGGACCTCAGTAACTCAATCAGCAACCCCTTTCTTATCACAAGAGGTGACCATGGCCGGGAACACCTGAGGTCTCCCCAACACCTCCATGCACCTCGGCTGAGAAAGACTACGCCCTGGTGGAGTGACAGAGAAGCAGCGCAATTTAATCACGTTCGCTGGGTAGGAGAGCCACGCCCTGCTTTAAACCATGCAGTGTGCAGTGGTTGCCATGTCAGTACTAGTCACCATTCCGCTGAGCTTCTTAAGGCTAAGCCTTGGTTAATCCTCTAAGAGTCTGGTTTGTTTTAAGGCCAACTGCAGTACCAGGAGCAAACAGGAACGGCCCTGTTCTCGGGGCCAGAGTGTCCGCCCCCCAGCACGGTGCGCTGGCAGCTCCGCTCCGGCGCCGCGGTCCACCTCGCCTCAGTGCCTGAGCGACGGGCTTCCTTTCTCCGTCTCCCGGCTGTCCCTCTGCAACGCCGTCAGCACCTGCAACCAAGGCAGACACTGACCACAGGCCCCGCTGCCGGCGACCGCCTCCCGCTGCTCCACACTGTCCCCGCGCACCTCTCCGCCATGGAGGCCCGCCTGCCATCTCTGCACCAGGCCCTCCCCCCGGCCCACCAGCCTGCCATCTCTGCACCAGGCCCTCCCACCGGCCCACCAGCCACAGGCAGGGCTGCAGTGCTCTGCCCGGCCTCCTCGTCCCCCGTGCTCCCACCACAAAGCCTGCTTCCCACTCCTTCCTGACTTCCCAGGGGCAGGGCTCCGTCCTCTCTGCTCTCAGCTTAGTTAACACCTTTACTTTGTAAATATCAGTCCCGCTGCGATTGCTTAGTGACAGCGGGACACTGACAACAGCTATAGCTCCTGAGGCCTCTGTGCCAATCAGAGCCCTCACGCAAAGGCTCATTCACCGCTGTCTTCTCCGCACAAGCAGCGCAGGAAGGTACCCCCATCGTAAGGCATCTGACAATGGCGCCAACGATGTGACTTTCTCCCACACAGCTCATGGCTCACACCCACCCGTCTGACTTGTAAACCGAGGGATCGGGAGCGGAGGCCAGGCACCTGCCGTTTTACTTACAGCCACAGGGAAGCAGGATCACTGAGTCCCAAAAGGTGGCCCAGAGGACTAATGGCAGACACAAGCCCCCCTCCGTCAGCAAACAGCACGGCCCACAAACATAAACATGCACTTGCCGGTAAAGCTCACCAGTCTTCCCTCGGCAGAGCCTGCAGGACCGTGCTCGGACCACAGTCCCCCCGGGCCGCTATATGGAGCCCCATGTGCTCCCCCCCAGCAGCTAACCTATCACTAGCCCACCACTAGTCTGACCTCGTTTTAACCTGTAATTTTTACTTAGGTCCTAAAGTATAAGAAGCAAAACGTTAGATCTGGGTTTAATCCTTCCCTCTTTGTATGTGTGTGATTGTGTGCACGCTCACGCACACGTGTATGTGGGGGGGAGTGTGTGTAGCTGTGTGTGTATGTAGGGTGTGTGTGGCCATGGGTAGGTATGTCTGGGTGTGTGTGTGGGGGATTGTGTGTGTATGGAGGGGTATATGGGTGTGTGTGGGGTTGTATATATATGTGGAAGGTTGTGTGTGTGTATGGGTGTGTGGGTGCTGTGTGTATATATGGGGTATGTGTATGTGTGTGGTTCTTTGTATGTGTGTATGGGTGTGTGTGGGGTTATGTGTATGGGTGTGTGGAGACTGTGTGCATCTATGGGATGTGTGTATGTTTGTATGTGTGGGTTTGTGTGTGTGTATGGGTGTGTGAGGATTGTGTGTGTGTAAGGGTATGGGTTCTAGGTGATGGATGGGTGGCCACAGGGAAGCCCCTGGGACTTGGAAGGAAGATCAGCAGCCGTGACTGCACATGTGGGAAAGGGAAGGTAGCAACATAACCAGGGAAGTGGGGGCAGGACCTCATCCAGGGAACACCCCCAGGAGGAGGGGCAGTGAGTGCTAGTTCCCTTGGCTTCTGCCACAGGCATTTTTAAAGGGGTGGGGGTGGGGGTTACAAATGCTGTCTACCATGCAGGGAGCACCATGATGACTAACCAGCACTGGCCTCCCAGGGCCTGCAGAAAGGGTGGAGGCTGGGTGCCACCTGACAGGCCCCTGGCAGAGCCGGGCCTCAGAGCCGGTCTCCAGCGCAGGGCCCACCACGAGAGGGCTGCTTCCTCAGCGACTCTGCTCATGGGGCTCCAAGGAGGAAAGGACCAGAAGGCCCGCTTACCTGAGCCCACTTCTTGCTGCGACTTTGCATCTGAACTGCAGCTATGGAGGCAAACACCTCGTCCGCAGGCAGGTCCTCGGGCAGCCTGGTGAGGAACTGGGCGACGTGGATGAAGTCCATCCGGGTCAGAATGTCCTCGAACAGCCGCAGGATGCCCAGGGCCGTGCGGAACAGGAACTCCTCCCCGTCGCGGCAGAACACGTCCCAGATGCGGCAGGCCAGGTCGAGGGGCAGAGACTTACTGTACAAGGTAAAGATCCTGCAGAGGGGCGCGCGCTTCAGGGGGGCTGGCGCAGAAGGAACCCTGAATCGGCTGAGCTCCAGCCAGGCTCCCCAGTCTGACTGCTCCTTAGATACAAACATGGGGCGGGGGTGCAGGGGCACGAGGCCTGGGCTCATTCCGAGGGCCAGTGTGAAACAGCATTGCACACGGGATCTCAAACTCAGTACAATTCCTCAGCACAGCTACTGTTACCTCCACATGCAACCAATATTTATTTATCCAGCACTACGGTGAGCTAGCCGCTGGCAGGCACAGGGAAGAGGTCACTAAGGCAGACAGAGCAGAGTCTGGTGTGGGGATGAGAACAGCTCACAGAAATGCACCAGCCACACGCACAGGAAGAGGACTGTTTGCTTTCCTCCCAGTAGGGGTCAGCAAAGGAACAAAGGAACTTTTTCCAAATACATTTGACTGCCGGTTACAAATTCTCATCTTAACGATGCAAACCCCCAGGTGAAGAAATGAAATATGAGGATGCCTTCCCTTAAAGAACCGTGAGCACCACGCCCTGGAAGGGGCGGCTCGGTGGGCCGGGCGTCAGCCTGCACACCAACGGCGCTGAGGGCCCGGCGGCCCTTTTCCCGGTCTATCTGGGGAGTGCTCTCATGTCCACCGGGAGCACGTGCTTGTTTTTTGAAAATGAAATAGAACTGACCCAATCCACAGTCCTCCTTCTTCCTCCCCGCCCTCTCACGGAGATCAAGCCCTCACGTCTTAAAAGCAGCCTCGGGTGAAAAGTGACCAGAACACAGAGGAGCGGTAGAGGAGGGAGAGAGTGACAGCAGAAGAAATCTCAACAGCACATTCTTGAGTTGAGATGCATGTGGCCTCCACTGACAACTTGGACGTTCTGAACTTTACAGACTAAAGCCAACATGCAAACCATCAAGAAAGCCGTGGGCAGCCTGCACCCTGCTTGGGCCTCACCCAGGCGACACGGCTGTCTGCGAGCTAGCTCTGAGCCTCCCGGAGGGGGTGAGGGTGCAGGGCAGCACAGAGCACACACCGTTCCTGCCCCGCTGGAGGGTGTGTGGGTTTAACTGCAAGCAGGGGCAGGCAGGAACGGCCAGTCCAATGTGTGTGTGTGAGAGCGTGCACACGCATTTGTTCACAGGATGGTCGGGGGAGAACGCGTCACTGACAAGTGACATTTGTATAAAGCCCTGGAGAGGAAGCCAGGAGCCAAGAGAAGGGTCTGGAAAGCATCCAGGTCCCCGAGCTCTGAGGCAGGAGCAGACCTAGCAAATCCCAGGAAGAGCCAGGAACCGCAGGGAGAAGCTGGAGCAGAAGGGGGGAGCACACGGAGAAGCTGAGACCGGGCGGGTGCGGGTGGGCGGGCGGCCGGGCCGTATTCTCCAGGACAGGGAACCAGCAGAGGTCTGTCCAGAGAAGGCCACTGTGGTGTGGGGAGGCCAGAACAAGAGAACCTGGACAGACCCTGCAGGGGCTTTCCCACGGAAAATGCAGCCAGACCCAGGGCCTGAGCCTCCATGTCTCCTCTGTGATGCAAGCCAGGCCTCAGGGCTCTGATCTCAGCTGGTGGCACTGTGAGCCGCTCAGCGCTGGGCCAGGGAGCAGGTGACAGTACTTGGCCATCTCTTGCATTCCCGCAAAACACTCGGGCACCACCGCTTCCTCTCTCCAGTGCTCACTCCCCACTCCCCACCCACTTTGCAGCCTCGGCTCAAACCCAGGTCTTTGTCCTTTATCAGCCTCCGCCTCAGGCCTCCCTACCTCTCACATAACCTAACGCTCCTGCTGGAGGTGGCCCACCTTCGTCTTCGCCCAATCAGAAGCCTTCCACACGCCCTTGGCCCCTGCAATGCTGCCCAAGCGCCTCCGCGTGGCTCCCACACACACTGGGAGCTGGCTTCCGACCTCTCACCTCTCAGGATGCCCAGGCCGTGGATATATGTATACAGGATCTCCATGTATTGCATATATAGGCGCCAGCGCCGCCAGGCACCTGCTGGAGGCCTGCTGGCTCTGGACCACCAGGCTCCTACCAGGTCTCGGCTGGGGCTCATGTTGGCTGCCCCGTGCACTCTGACCCCGAAGCCTGGGTCCAGACCGCTGTCCTCCCCGCTCCAGAGACACACTTCACGTGCAGCACAGCCCCCCACGGGCATGTCTCCCTCCAGGCAAGGCTCTGACAGGCACCGCCTGCCCCGCTCACCACCACTGTCCAGGTCCCAGCAGAGCCTGGCACAGCAGACCTGGCGCTCATTGGCATCGCGCCTAATGATGGGTAAATGGCGCTTTGAAAGCAAACAGGTCCCAGACACCACTTCTCCCTGCAGGAGCTCAGAGGGACCAGGCAGGGTCACAGACAGAAACAAGAGCAAGCGATGGAGCCAGTGGATGCCTGGGCTGGAGCTGGGGACCAGCAGTGGCGTGGGCAGCTGAGCCTGAGGGAGCGCCCATGAGGACAGTGGAGCATGGGGTGGGAGAGGTGAACACGAAAATGCACACTCACCAATCAATTAGGTAGATGTCTGGAGTTAAGCTGTTTTTCTTGAAATGAGTAAATAATTTCGGCAAGTTTTCTTCAAAGAATACCTCAAATGCAGCAAAATAAGTCAACATCTGGGGAGACAATGTGAAATGCACCAATAAACTGGTTATCAGCACACGTTCCCAACCTGCAAAACAAGCCATCGTGCTTCCACCATTAGAACCCAACCTCGGGTGAACTGCCAGGGACAGGGTCTGGCGGGTGAAGGCGCGGAGCACACAGGCCACCCTAGCAGCGCGTCCCGTCCCACCGCGCCTGCTCCACCGCCACGGGCACTGCCGCGTCCCCTGTGCCCGGCAAGTCTACCCACCGGGCGCCGATGCTGGAAGTGACTCTTGGCACTAACGCAGCCTCTAACGAAGGCATGCCCACTGTCTCCGACACTGCCCTGCATAGCCGATGGCAGAGCAGCGTGCACTGCAGGCCCGGGAGAGCAGAAATCCCGTCCTGCCCTGTGGAGATGCCGCTAGCCGTGGTGTCGGGAACTGAACCGAGATCTGAGTTCGCCTGTGAGCCCTCTGCGCATCTTCATGTAACACCACGAGCTACACCCTATCCCTCCTCCCGTGTGCAGAGAAATGGCACGTGAGTGTGTGGCCGGGACCGACCCGTGTCTGTCCCTCTGCCAAGGCGGAGCCTCTAGGGCTCACTCCTCCAGGCCTGGAGGTACTCCATGGCTGAGGGATCTGACACAGGCGCGCCGTGCTCCCAGCCCTCAGCGTCGCCAGGGAAGGCGACAGAGATCCCAGGCCCGGCAGCACCGCTCCGGCTCCGGCAAGCAGTGAGGGAGGAGACCCTCGGGGAGGAGCAGCGGGCACAGCCTGCCCTTCCCCAGCACCGGCTCTCAGCTGCCTGCAGGCCCTGTGGGATGCAGTGCGCAGGGAGCCGCGTGGAAGTGGCACCAGCGGAGAGGCGGGCAGGCTGCTCCGTGTGCCACAGGGAGGCCTGTGGGTAGGTGGCTTTCGGATGCTGCCTGCTCGCCTTCATGAATGAGTGTACTGTAAACCAAAATTCCCCACGGGGTCCTCTCCTCCCGGGACACCTGGCTCAGTCGGAGAACACTTCTGGTTGTTAGAGCCAGGGGGAGGTGCTGCTGGCACTCAGCGGCCAGAGGCCAGAGATGCCGTTCCATGCCCAGGACAGCCCCACCGCCGCGCCCAGCCCCAAGGTCACAGCTGCTACTGGGAGGCCCTGCTGCAAATGAGGGTCCGGCCAGCATCACGCTTCTCTGTTCTCCCTTAGTCATAGGCTAAAATTCTTCCGTAGTTTTTATCAGCTGTTGCCAAAGAGAAAACTGGGGTCTTATCTTCAAAATTAGGAGCTATTGTGATGTAATCATTTTACTCTACAGAAGCTCTTCCCCACGGAAAGCGGACCTCAGTGCCGCGGGGGGAAGCCTCGGAGCAGAAACCACCAGGATCCCACATCTCTGTGAACTGTGGTCCTTCACATCCATGTGAACACATGGGAGCCGCTATGCAGAGGCTCCACTTGATATGCTTTTGGAAAAGTAACCCTTCATCCTAAACACTTCTTTAGAGCACTATTCTGGGCAAACACTGCTACCTCACTGGGTCTCTCACTGGATTGTAGTGAACCTTACTGTATCCCCAAACCCCATTTTTAAAGATCTCCAACTTTCACACCGAAACGTAATTTTAAGTTATTATTAAATACTAATAAATACTGTGTGACAATCATCTTTGGGCTTAATGCTTGGTCCCCGATGGACTTCCTTAGATTCTTACAAGCAGAATTACATGCCAACACCATTTATCGCTACTGATACTTAATACCAAGTGTCTTCCAGAGGAGTTCTGCCAATTTATACCACCCCTAACAGCCACCCACGTAGCAACAGTTTTTAAATACTTTTTCTTTATTTAAAATAAAGACCAGCTGCCCGGTCTTGAACAGGAACTTCTCAGGAGACTGTAAGATTAAGAGGGACTACGGCTGGCTGACCTAGCCTCCCGGCTCAGTGTCTGGCAGCACTGGTGGTAACTACCAGCCCGTCAATGCCACACTAACATAACCGCCGCTGGGCCTGTCAGGCGGGTGCCATCCCCTGGCCTCCGAAAGAGCAGGGTGAGGAGGCAGGACGGGCACCTGGGCTCCTCCCTCACCCTCTGTGCGCCCTGAACGGGAGCCTCCCCTCCCCATTGGGCCACGCAGAGGACCCGGAGCCTCGGAGGCCCCGCAGCCGTCTGTGTGCATACTGCGTGGCACGGATTCAGCTCAGTCCAGGACCTGCACGGCCAGCCGCGCCTGAACCCCTGATGCACGGCTGCCTCCATCCACACAGGAGCGCCTTACACGCCCTCCTGCCTGTGAGCCTCAGAGCGCGCGACGTCATGTCCAGGCGCAGACCCCACGAGGAGACTGCGCCACCAAGTGGGCATGTCTGTGCAGGTGCTGCCCCTCCCGGCGCAGAGAATGTATTTTCAGAAACGCTTTCTGAAAAGCTGTCTTGAGAGTCGTACCTATGGCCGTTAGCGACGTGCTTTTAAAATCAACACAACAGCCGGGACCGGTTTGGCTCAATGGATAGAGCGTCGGCTTGGGGACTGAAAGGTCCCGGGTTCGATTCCGGTCAAGGGCATGTACCTTGGTTGCGGGCACATCCCCAGTAGGGGGTATGCAAGAGGCAGCTGATCGATGACTCTCTCTCATCGATATTTCTAACTCTCTATCTCTCTCCCTTCCTCTCTGTACAAAAATCAATAAAATATATTTAAAAATAAATAAATAAAATAAAATCAACACAACACCCCAAGCACCTCCCACTCTACAGAGCTTTCTCCGACTCCTTCCTCGTGGGGAGGGGGGTTCCTTCCACTGAAAAGAGGGCCAACTGGGCGGTGCTTGCTGGGCACACGGGGGATACTCACAAGGCCATGGTCCACTCGGAAAAACGCCATTTGACAGGGTTTATTCAAAAGATTGGAGAACGCGATGAAGGCATCTGCAGTGTCCAAGTTCAGGATCAGCACTGCGGCTATGAAGGACATGCCCTGCACCTGCGGGGAGGAGGGGGTTAAATGCCGCGGCCTGCACAGCAGACGGCTCTCCCCCTCCCATGGCCTCCCCCAGAGCTGGGTGACAGCCTCCATCCCATCAGATCTCTCTCACCAGGAAGCCTGCGCGGCCACATCAGCTGCCTGTCTGCTCCCACCCCGCCCCCACGGCCGGGGGACCACCTGGGACACCCCCAGACTCAGCGGCCTCGTGCGGAGAGATGTGCGTCTATCATCCATCACGTGCTACACCTGGCACCATGCACCGGCCTCGGTGAAGCCGCACACACTGCAGCACCGTTCTAAAATGGTTACTGCTAAGGCTTGTCTTCACTTAACGCTGAAAAAGCTGCATGCGGAAAACGAAACTCAGATCCAATTTCAATGTGACGCAGCCACAGGGCAGCCGTGTCTGCGGTTCCTTTAGGAGAAGCAGGCAGCTCGCTGCCATGAGACTTTCCATGCCCAGCAGAAGCGAGGGCCTTCGCCTCGCCCTCGCAGCTAAGATGTCCCCCACTACTGGCGTTATTCGGACTTTCTTTTTAAAGTGTGAGACGCGATAAAATATTGAAAGTTCACTTACATAGCCCACATCCGGTCGGTAACAAGTATAAGCGCCCAAAACGCTGTGCAGCATGTCATGATACGGGCCGCCCTGGAAGGATCAACATACCAAGGACACATGCGATCTGTTAGTGCCCAGGACAGCCTTGGCCGCCTCGTGCCCGGCGCGGAGGGAGCCGTGGCCACGCCCAGGCCAGCAGCTCTGCGGCTATCACGTAGCTTCACAAATGAGCTACCAAACCTATTAGAAGCGAACCTGCAGCCAATAAGTCTACCAAGCTGCTCGGAGAAAGCTGGTGGGTCAGGCCTGAGCACCGCGCCAGAAAAGATCCCTCCCTTGGCTCCTGCTGTATACTCAGCCCCTTCTGAGTTCCAGGGCAACCAGGCGCCAGGGGTCAGCCAGGCAGGGCAGTGATTGCTGTCCGCTAGCTGCCAGCCGTGCCGTGCATCCTGCCCCCTCCCTGCCCATCACGGCCTTCGTTTCTTCCACGCTTCCTGACCCGCGCCGCGGCCTGCAGGACTCTCCATCCTAAGTCCTAACAGCCTCCATTTTAACCCGAACACCCCCAGCTCTCCATGCGTTCCTGGGACTCCTCGGCATTAGGCGTGCGGCTTTTCTCCTCCTCTGCACTGCCAGCGTGCCTGGGCCACCGCACGTCTGCACGCCCAGGGTTACAGGTTCACGTCTCTGCAGCGTTCCAGGTGGCGGTCCCTGACTGACTCGTTCTAACTGAAACCTGTCCTGGCGTCCTGGCGCTGAGAGTCTGTGTAGAAGCATGGGCCTAAGAGAGTCAGACTGCGGGCAGGGCTGGTCTGGAGGCCGTGAGGGGACCGGCCCAGAGGTGGAGGGGCGGGGGAATGCCTGTATTGACATGAGACCCACCCTCCCCCTGCTATCCCTCTCTGGCGGCCCCTCCACCCAAAACCCACGTACTTCTCAACTTGATTACAACATGTGCAGATGGCATCTGTGAATTTCAGACAACTATGCTTGAAAGCAACAAATCACCACTACCTACCTGCTGGAAAATGCAGAGGTTAGGGAATGTTCTAGAAATGTCCAGTTTGATCAGTTCCAGGCTGGCTTCTCTGTCAGCCGCTGAGAACCCGGCATCTACCGAAAGACCCAGAGTCAAGACCCCTCTTGGGGGCAGCGTGCGGGGCCTCAGGCTCTGAGGCTTACAGGAGGGACAGGGGAACATGCTTCAGGGGTCCCGAGGCCTGGTCACAGCCCGGCTGCCAGGGCGGAGCAAACACCAAGCACCGGCTAACGCCAGGCGCCATCGGTGTCTTCTGGAGTCTGGGATGAGCCTCATGTGACACTGCCTTCCGGGAAGAGACAAGAACAAACCCACCAGGCACAGAAGGCACTGGGAATCGCGGTCTGACCTAGCATGGCCTGGCACAACGCAGAATCCACGGGGCGTGGCAGTGGCGACACTCGTGTGCCATTTCTAACTAATGTTCAGGGATAGCTTGGTTTCTGTTCCTTTTATTGTATTTTAGTTTCACCTAGATAGTATAAAAGGTCAGTAAAAGATACCCCAGAATGACAGGAGCGACACTCTGTGCGGGGAGATGCTAAGTGTGACCAGCGAACACGCAGCTCTGTCTTCAAGCAGCTCGCACGCTGCCCGGGTCCAGGCTCTGCCGCCTCGGGAATGGGAGCGAGGGCAGCGGGGTTACCGCTGTGTGTCAGACACAAACACCACTCTGGATGGAGCGCTTTCTTTCTAAAGAGAACTTCCTCTTTACCCTGTTTGCGCTGAAAAATCCCTTTTCCAGCCCCGGCCTGTGGCTCCGGTGGTTGGGGCGTTATCCACACACCAAAAAGTTTCGGGTTCAATCCCCCATCGGGGCGTGTATGGGAAGCAACCAATCTCTCTCTCAATCTCTCTCTCTCTCTCTCTTTCTCTCTCTCAAAATCAAGAAAACCGTGAGGATTTAAAAATAACTCCGCCCTTTTCCAAGCAGCTGTTGGTAAGCTCGTACTACACACCCCCTCGGAGAAGTGACCTCCCTATCGGGCGGAGCAGTGCCCCCTGACCAGCCACCACCTGCCTGGCCCCACGTACCTTCACTGTCGGCGTCGGGGCCGCCCGCGCTGAAGCACCGCCACCTCTCCTTGGCCCGGGCGAGGCAGATGTGGAAGAGCTCTGCGAGAGAGGCCTCGGTGAGCGTGGGCACACACGCACGGCTCCTCAGAAACGCCAGGGACACACCACTGCCTCAAGGTCAACTACACTCTGAAGTCTTCTACTGTTAAAGACACCTGCCACCACTTACACAGACGGACCCGCACGCCGTGCGGCCACTGAGGCACGGCTGTCTGGTTTGTGGGTCTGTCACTTGTACCACCTGTGAGCTCTTGGGCGTAAGATGGTCCATGTGGCAGGTACGGATTAGCCAAAGATGGAGCTTTGAGGAGGTCACCTCCAATCAACGGCAGTGACACACACACACACACACACACACACACACACACGCTGGCGTTACTCAGGCCGCGGGCGGATGACGCCTCCCAAGGGAAGAACATTGTCACAGGACCCCGGTGCACAGAGCAGACACAAACCAATCCACCCTAAACTCAAAGGCGAGTCAGGGTCCCCTCTCCCCTCTGCTCTAATGCCGCTAGCGCCTCAAGCACCCCGTGGGGTGCAGCATGCTGTCCCTCTAGAGGTGCTCACACATCAGCTGCCTGGGGAAAATGCCCCCAAACCAGCAGTACCCAGAGGCACCCGCACCGCGCAGGGCGAGACCACGTGTCCCGCCGCACGCTGCGAGCAGGCCGGCCTCAGAGGTGGTGAAGCCTCCTGGAGGACAGTCACTGGCCTCTCCCGGCCCCTGGCAATGGTGTCCTTTCTCCTGACAGCAGGGCAGAGGGACAGGAGGAGCCACAGGACCTGGCGGGGGGAAAGGGGGTTCCAGAGCCTGCAAATGCAGGCACTCACCATGGGTGATGTTTAACTCGTTGCCAATGGCTAAGCTCCAGACTTTGCCCCTCACGCTGGGAGGGATCCCCTGCCACCACAGGTCCCGGACCTTTCGAGAGCACCACCTGCACAGAGAGGAAGACCAGTTTATGCGAAGAAACATCTGCCACCGTGTGCCTCCCCCAGACCGCAGGACAGGGGACACACAGGGACGTCACAGCCTGCCTCAGGGGCTTAGTCCGGGGACCACAGAGGTCAGTGCCGCTCTCCGCTGGGCAATGCCGGGCCGGTACGCCCAGGGCACTGCACGCGGGGAGCAGCAGCACCAACAGGGCTCGGCACTCTCCTGAGCTGAATCTGCAGGGACGGCTAATAGCTGGGCAGGATCGGGGGAGGGAGGAGGGCCGGGGGGGGGGGGTGAGGGGGCAGGACTGCTGCGGAGCTGCAGGTGCAGGGAGGTGGCACACCGGGCAGCTGCCAAGCTCCAATGGCAGAGCACTCCGCTAACTCAGCAGCTCTCACTGCTCAGCACTGCGGCCCTCTGCTCACAGTGGCTCCCCGCCCGCACCCAGGGACAAAGTACAGACTGCCCTGGTGCTCCTCAAGGCACCCCCCCGCCCCCCCGGAGAGCACGGGCCGCGGCTGCAGGACAGGTCTGCACCCCAATCCCATGCTTCCCTGTGCAACCCCGAGCCAATGCCTTCCCTCCAGCACCGCAGGGGGAAAGCCCGGGAAGGACTGCCAAGGAGATTAGCGGACAATGCACAGTGACACGGACCCATGCCTGGCCCCTAGCGGCTGCGTCCCAGGCAGTGCCGAGTGCGGGCCTCTGGACCACATCACACACCGTCAGCGAGGGGTGGACCAGGGAGGGTCCTCAGCCACCGAGGGAGACAGCCCCAGGGTCCTGAGGACCTCCCTCTTATCACTGGGTCCCATTTGATAAAAAAGTGTTTCCTGACTGCCCAGCCTCGTAAAGGCCCCTGGGAAAAGCAGGCTCTGGGAAATGCTTGTTTTCCTAGGGGACATCCGCACCGGCCGTCTGGCCCTAATGAGACAGAGTGACACTCGGGAGTGAGTCCCCCCCATCCCGACACAGGGCGCAGGCTGAAAGCGACAGGAGAAGAGAAACTGGCACCCACGCTTCCTGCAGCACCCAGTGATGGGGGGTGGCCCTCCCCACCCTGCACCACAGAGGAATGCCCGCAGCTGCCCCACAGACTGTAGATGACAGCAGCTGCCAGGCTGCCACGGGGCTGTCATCAGAGAAGAGCCCGTCCCGCCCTCAGACAGAGGGCGATGCAGTGCATCCAGCGCGTCTCCTCTAGCCCCTGGCCAGGGAGGGCTTCCCACGGGGGACTGCGCCTCGTACAACAGCGAGCTGGAGGGGGCTACAGGCAAGAGCACGCCAGGCAGAGGGCGGGGACCCACAGAGGCCCTGAGGCTCCCGGATGAGAGAGCTCCGCCCCAGTGCAGGAGCGGTCAAAGGTGGCCTTCCGAGAAAGAAAGGAGGTCAACGTCACTGAAGCTCAGGTGGGAAAATGACCCAGACCTGGGCCTTAGAGGCCCCTCCGGCTGCTGGTCCCTCTGGAAGGAGGACGGGGGGACTGTCACCGGATCAGAGGAGGGACAACAGGCCTGAGCTCGGCAGGGAAGGGAGATGTGCTCTGACCGACAGGGGGGCCGCCCTCCCTAGGCCTCCGACGGAAATGAGACAGCTCTCGGCGCCCCGTCCCCGCTTACATGGTTTCCCAGTTAGGCAAAATCTCATTGTTCCACGTCAGGACGGCATTCCCAATGCTCTCTTCCTGCCGGCATCTTTCTTCCAGCTGCTTCTTCCTCCGCTGGGCTTCCTTCAGCTCTGGGATCACAGCGGAGAGAGGAACAGCTCCGCTAACTGGCAGCCACCACCTCAGGCGGTGACTTTGCTCAGTCGCGCAGCAAAGACCCCAGAACGGCACTGACGGAGGCCGTGCGGCCCACCCCTTCCCCCCCTTCCCTCTGTGGGCAGCTCAGAAGGTGTGGTTCTGCCTTCACCGAGGATCCCACAGAAGTGGAATCACAGTGTTGTCTTCCTGACTGGCTTATTCCACTAAGCATGAATCCTCAAGGCTCACCCGTGTTGAGGCACGTTCCAGAAGTAATATCCTGTTTTGTGTACTGACCACATTATGGCAATCACATATATTTTTTTAAAACATCCTGGAGTCCTAGGATGTTGCAAGGCATTTTACCAAATCCTATCCCATCTTGTAAAACAGGAAACTCGCCCGGCCAGCATGCTCCGTGGTTGAGCCAGGAGGTCAGGGTTCGATTCCCGGTCAGAGCTCATGCCTGGGTTGTAAGCTCGATCCAGACTGGGGGGCATACAAGAGGCAACCTATCGATGGTTCTCTCTCATCACTGATATTTCTCTCTCTCTCTCTCTCCCTCCTCTCTCTCTCTCTCTCTCTCTCTCTCTCTCTCTCTCTCTCTCCTGCTTCCTTCCTCTCTGAAATCAATACAAATATATTTAAAATAAATACAAAGGAAACCGAGCCCAGAGAGAGCGAGCTGTGGCCCTCACTGCTGGCGAGGCTTTCCCCATACTCTCACCCTAGACAGCCTCTCTCCTGGTGTAAACTCAAAGTGCGGACACCCTGAGTAAAGCCTGCAGGAATGACATGAGTCGAAGCACGCACTTCTGTGGAAAATTATAAATTTCAAAATGCTAAAGCCTTCACCACAGTTCAGGTTCAAGGGCCCCAGACAGGAAGCAGGACATATCCAGACACAGAGTCCTGGCTGCCTTACGCCCCCGAACAGCGGAGCCCCTCACTTACCTCGCTTCTTGGCCTGGACCACCATTTCCTCATACTGCTGCCTGTGCCTCTGGGCTTCTTCAGCGGGCTTCGCCGGCAGGTTTCTTGATAGAAAGTAAATGATTTCCCACCATTATGAATCCTATATGATAAAGAGCTAATATGCTAATTAGACCGGACAGCAAAATGACCTTCTGGAATGACCTTCCGGAAAGACCGGTAAGGCAGCCGGGGCCATGAGGGCCGAGCCCCTTGCACGAATTTCGTGCATCAGGCCTCTGGTATCAAATAAAATTCTTTGAGAAACAAAACTTGAAGCATTACTAGTTAAAAATAAATTTAAAAAAAAAGCTCAAAAAACAAAACTAAACACGTTAAGATGACAAAGACACAGCTCTTTCATAAACTAAAAATATTTTCTTGCCCAAACCGGTTTAGCTCAGTGGATGGAGCATCAGCCTGTGGACTGAAAGGTCCCGGGTTCGATTCTGGTCAAGGGCATGTACTTTGGTTGCGGGCACATCCCCAGTAGGGGGTGTGCAAGAGGCAGCTGATCGATGATTCTCTTTCATAGATGTTTCTGACTCTCTATCCCTCTCTCTTCCTCTCTGTAAAAAATCAATGAAATATATTAAAAAATAATAAAATATTTTCTTATACAAATAAAATGAGCTCATGGTAAAAAATGTGAATTACAAAGAAAGAAGAAGGTGACAATTACCCACCATTCAAAGAGATAAACACTTAACCTTTTGGTGCTTTTCACTTTAGTTAAAAGAAACTTTGATCTGACCACAATACACTAATAACTGTTGACACTTGTCTGTGAAGGAGGGACCCTAACAACATACTGTGTGTAAATGTGTGAACACATTTTCTGGCCGGTTTGTAAGTGTGCACGTTTCACACTGGCTATGTGGCTCATCGGCGTTTAAACAAATATCTACCACAGTTCTGAGCAACTACGAATCCTGTTTGAAAGAATAAAATGCTCGTTCTCCTTCAGAAATGGACGGTCCATCAAACAGATGGCCACCAGCGGAGGGGTGCTGGGGCCAGCAGCTCCCGCAGGTCCCAAACGACCCAGCATTGGCCAGGCAACGCTCCGCAGGACCGGCTGCCCCCAAACACCGCTTCCAGTACCCTGCTGGCGTTCTCGTGTGGTTACAGCCAGCCGACAATGTACAATCGCTCCTTCCATACTTGTGAATGCTAAGTTAAAGGAAAACACCGGCTGAAAGGAAAACCCTCGGCTAGGTGTCGGCAACCTACGGCTCCAGAGCCGCATGCGGCTCTTTTGAAGCTTTACCGCGGCTCCGACAACTTGCAAGCCTGTGTGAAAATGAAGGTAACGTCTTACAGCCCTGATGTGCTGATACTGTGCACTGAGGTTCAGGAGCAAAAATCCCATTAACCAGGTAAATTAAATATTTTAATTAGCTATTAATTTCCAAAAATATATTTTACATTGTTAAGTGAAAAAGTCCTTTTTTTCTTCAGATTGACAGCTAACTGCACGATCTGGTATATAGCATTAAGGTAAGAAACAATATATGCAGCGTTATATTTGCTTTAAATGTCGCAATGGTTTTGCGGCTCCCAGGGTTTTTTTTTCATTCGGAAACGGGTCCAAGTGGCTCTTTATGTCTTAAAGGTTGCAGACCCCTGCCCTAGGCACACGTGTACGTTAGAGGACAGCTTTCCAAACTAGCCACTTACTAGCCCTAGGACACGTTAATAACACAGGAAATGAAGAGGAACTCGGCATTTTTTGTTGTTGCTCTTCCTCACCTGAGGATATTTTTTCCATGGCCTTTTTTTTTAGAACAAATGGAAGGGGGGAGGGGGAGATGGGGGAGAAGGAAAGAGAGAGAGAAACATCAATGTGAGAGACACATCGATTGGTTGCCTCCCACACATGCTCCACACGGCGGGGATAGAACCTGCAACCCTGGTATGTGTCCTTGACCAGGAGTCAAACCTGTGACACGCTTTGGTGCACGGTCAGACACTCTAACCACTGAGCCACGCTGGCCAGGGTGGAAGTGGGCAATGGCTCCCTCTTCCTCCCTCTGTGTCCCTAGTTCCCTTCTAATGGGAAGGTGACTGATGAGCGAGGTGTCTCCATCCGCTAAAGCCAACACCCAGACCCTGGTTGGGACTCACGCGGGTCTGTCCTCCAGGATGAGTGCGGTGGTGGAGAGCGGCTCGAAGTCAAGGTTCTTCCTCACATTCTGCTTCGGGGAGGGCGGCCTGCTAGCTCGGCCAGCCTGGTCTTCATATTCCTGGGAAAAGACACCGGGGTTACGGCGGCCTGCAGCTCCGACAGGACGCCGCCCTTGGAGAGCGAGAGCATGCTGCGCTGCCGCCTGCAGGCTGACTGCGGACGGCGTGCTGAGCACACTGCTTGCGGAGCAGAAGGCAGGCCCGTGAGTGACCCAGGACAGTTGATGCCCACCCCGGTGACAAAGTCTCCAGGCCTCACCCCAGCTGCCCCTTCCCGAGGGCCCCCAGCATCGTCTCCGGTCTCCTCGGCGTCTCCTGTGATTTTAACTGGTTATTACAGTAGCCGCTGGAAATCTCAGAGCAGACCCACGGCCAGGTCCAGCACGCGCCTGACCTCTGGCCTCCTTCCATACCCTAAATTTCTGACCACCTCCTTCCACCCATGGATTTAATGCTATTTATTAGCTGTTTCAAAATTTCCTGAAATGAGGAACAGGTTAAAATCTTTTGCATAAATAAAGCTCTTTCATTTTCTTAAACCAGAAACATCAAAAAAAGAAATCTTTAACATCGTACGAAGCCGTCACTGCGAGCTGCTACACAAGGAACGGCCATGCCTGGCCATCTGAGCGCCACCCCACGCTGCTGGTGACCCACATTCCACACACCCAACCAGGGAGTTCAGGGGAGCCAGGCACGTTGGCGCCAGAGTCCAGCTTCTGAACCTGTGTGTGTGTGTGTGTGTGTGTGTGTGTGTGTATATACCCTTAGCCCTCTGCAAAAAGCAAACAAGCAAACAAAACCCCCCCCACTATTCTCCTGCTGCCTGTTAGGACAAGGCTCTTGGCCCCCCCTTAGGAGAGGACAATGTAGCTGGGAAAGCAGGACACCCAAATGCACACTTAGCCTGAGACTGAAACCACCATTTTGGGAACAGAAGCAGCATCCTGAGTGGAAAGTGATTAACTGCTAAATGAGTTTTATTGACACCAGCTGCCAAGAGGGGTGCTTCTGGCAAAATTATTCGGCAACAATTACTCTTAGCCAGAAAAGCCTCCAGAGACTCCTCAGGTGCAAAGGGAACTGATCTCCCCTGAATGCGCAGGCCATGAGGGCGCCACCCCGGGGCGGGCGGGCGGGCGGGCGGGAGTTTCTGTACGTCTGGACCCTTAACACCTCCTACCCCAACTTAAAGTGGTGCCACTCAAATACCACAATGACCTCCACTTCCCAAGATCAGAGACAACCGACACGTTGGCCGCCAAGCCTAACATCCCAGCCCCTGCGTGTGCCAGGCGCTCCGCTGCCGCCTACCAGCGCCAGCTCCAGGAAGCTGCAGACCTGGGTCTTACAGGAAACGCACCCACACCGTGTTGAGAATGAGTCAGAGGCATGCCGCCTGTCAACAAGGGTTAGTAACGAGCGCCCCTCTAGGTGCTACGGCTCGGCTGACCCTGGTCTAGGGAACTCCACGCCAGGCCCACAGGAGCCCGGAAGTGGGCTGTCCCAGAACTGGACGCCCGTTTCCATTTGCTCCTGTGTGCGGCTGCCATAGCTGTCTCGCTTTATGTCCGTAACAAGCTCCCTGGCAAGTGTGAGCCCATTTTACAGCTATGGCAGCTGACCTGCCCTCAAGGACACAGCCCGTGGGGGGCGGGGCCTGCAGGACTGAGGGCCAGGGGAGGCTCCTGAGGCCTGAGCACAGCCCCTGGTGCAGGGAAGCGCTGCCCTGGCCACTGGTTGCTGGGACCCTCTTCCCCTCGGACCTGACAACCGTGTGCAGCAGAAGAGACGCTCCGGGCCAGACCCAATCAAGGAGCCTGCGAACAGCACGCAGGGAGGAGGAGTAAGTGGATCAAGGCCTTGCCTCCTGCCCGGCACAAGCAGGACTCTCAGGCTAGAGCTCTGAGCTCTATTACGAAGCAGCAGCGGTGGCAGCTGAGGTCAAGGAGCTCGTCAAGGGCTTCAAGAGTTTCCCGTTCACGGGAGCCCTCTGAGGGAGGAGCTGCACGGTCCCCAGCTCACACACCGGGAGATGGAGGCCGGGAGCGGCCATGACTCCTGCTGGGGAGCTGGATCAGCTGCCGAGCCTTCTGGCTCTGCAGCCACGTTTCTCAGCGACGGCCACGCTCCGGAACGCCTGCAGCCATCACTGCAGGCCCAGGTGACGCAGTCCTTCCCACTCAGTCTGAAAAGCTTTGCAGCGGACGGACACCGTACTGCTGAACTCAGTGCGCGTGCAGGCAAAACTCACGCTGTAACCAGAGCTCTACATGATTAGAAAGCAAACAAAAGCAGAGGAGGCCTGGCCCTTGCCCACCTGTGAAATGCCAGGGACAGCCTTTCCAGAACTGGAAGCAGCACTTCCCAACAGGAATGCGCCGGAAGTTGCTGCGGGTCCCGGTCCAAACCCAGTTCTCCCACAGCCACCGAGAGGTCAACCGTGAGCTCCTGCTCCAAGCCACACTGCCCACCCCCGGCAACGACAAAGCGGGGCCACGGAGCCTTGTGGGTACGCTGGGGGCAGGAAAGGGTGCAGTGGCAAACAAGAAGTTTCTGGAAAAACAACTTCCAGTTGTAGGTTACGCAGCTGGGGTCAGCACGGGATGTGGCCAGAGCGAGGGCTTTGGAAGCAAAGGGACTTCGCTCTGGGCCCCGGCTCTGACCTCAGCAATCACCTTGCTTTGCTTCCGCTCAGCGTTAGTTTCCTCAGACGCTGAGGACTCCTGTGAGGATGAGAGGACACATGCCACACGCGTCCTTTCTGAGCGGGCAGGTGGCAGGCAGCCCCCGCCTCAGCCCGCTATCGTTACAATTGGGCCCCTCCTGGGCTCCTGCTTTGAAGTCGGTCTAAACAGTGACAGCGCCTTCCATGTTGTGCTCGGCAGCAGCCCTGCGAGCTCATGGCACAAACCGCCCATTCAGGCGGCGGCAAGGAACTCGGAAGGAACTCAGAGCAGGGCTCTTCAAAGCCGCGTGGCGATCAGCTGAAGTGGTCACGCCGGCATTTTTTAAAGCTAACAATACAAAGCACCGGAGAGCACACAGCAAGGCCAGTTTGCTTCCGTTCTAAACCCAGTTTTACCCGTGTGCTGAGTAACTGTCTAACAGGGCTGGAGTGGAGGGTGTCACATCGGAAAGGTTTGCATAGTAGGTCAAGTCCCTGCCCTGAGTGGCTCATCATGCATCTGCTGGGAACACAGACCCACACCAGAGACAGCAGCAAACAGAATGTGCTGCAGCTAACGGGGGCGGATGAGGGGGAGCAGTTGGCAGGGGCAAATGAGCAGGCCTCACTCCACACAGGGCCAGGAGCGGAACCGATACAGCCGTCAAGGGAAGAGGGAAAGGGCCCTGTTTGTGAGGGACCACAGGGCCCAGCCTGCAATGTTCACTCTAGCAGGGGCGAGTAAGACGCAGCAGAGGCTGGGCATCCAGGGCAGACCATGGAAACTGCGGGAGAGAGTGTCGTGCCATGGGGGCCCGAGGACAGGTGTCCATGGCTGGGAACAGAGAAAAGCAGCTCACAGAGGGGCCATCTGAGTGGACAAAGGACAGGGAGGCCGAGGGCACGAAGGACAGGAATCCCAACAGCACACGCAGCAGCCTAGCGGTGCACGTGAGTGTGCTTATCCACGGGGAGCTGAGCCTAAGCTGTTTCGCTCTGAATTTAAGGGCTCAACAACAAGCCACCCGAGCTGCTGAGCAAGGAGAGCAGGCGGGAGCGGGGCTGGCCGCAGCGCCAGAAGTCCACTGTGGGGCGTGGTGAGCCTGTCACTGCACCCACGGTGGGGTCCACAGGGCGTGTCTCCAGCACGTGGGTGAGCGGAGCAGTGTGAAAGGCAGGACAAGGACACGGGGCTCCTGTGTGAAGTGCAAACTTTGCCAGTTAAAAAGGAAAAGAAATAAAGCTGATCTCAGCGAACATTTGCTTTAAGAGAACAAAGGATCAAGATTCTCAAACGATGAAAAGACTGTGTTCCTGGCAGGATGATAGAGGGGTCATCAAGGCGACTCACTGAGCTGTGGGTGCTGTAAAGATGGCCCATTGTGCCACCCTCCTGGCCAGTAGTGCTGTGGCTTCCGAGAAAGCTACCTTAGCTACCATATTTCCCTGAAAAGAAAACATCCTCCGAAAATAAGACCTACTTACAGGTTTCCTTCTGAGTGAAATATAAGGCATCCCCCGAAAATAAGGCTAAACATGAGAGATTTGGTCCACTGATTCTGAAAGAAATGGAGTCACAAGAAATTCACCAGGGCCGAAGCCGGTTTGGCTCAGTGGTAGAGCGTCGGTCTGCGGACTAAAAGGTCCCAGGTTTGATTCCGGTCAAGGGCATGTACCTTGGTTGCGGGCACATCCACAGTAGGGGGTGTGCAAGAGGCAGCTGGTCGATGTTTCTCTCTCATCGACATTTCTAGCTCTCTATTTCCCTTCCTCTCTGTAAAAAATCAGTAAAATATATTAAAATAAATAAATAAAAGAAATTCACCAGGAAATTCAGGAATTGCATTGTGATGATGATGTTCCAGAAGATGATGACATGGTTGTCATTGAATAAATGAGTAAATTCTTGATACTGTAGGATTCACAGTTTGTCTGGTTTGTGTTGACAACTACCGTACTACTGTACCGTATACAGGTAATAAATTTCCTTTATTTTCATTTAACAATAAGTGTGTACCGTATTCTTCTTCATGGAAAAATAAGACATCCCCTGAAAATAAGACCTACCGCATCTTTGGGAGCAAAAAGTAATATAAGACACTGTCTTATTTTCGGGGAAACAGGGTAGAAGCAGAAAGGCTCATCAGTCAGAACTGTGTTTAAGTCTGACTCAACTGTATCCAGTATCAAGATTCGCCTTTTAGAATAATTATGAGGGTTCTGGAGGTATGTCTGGAATACAGCGTGGCAGGTCGCCACATGTGGTGCCCATGAAAAGACTGACATGACCCGACGCCAGTGACAGCACAGCGCCACCTCTGCACAGGCCGGGGCCAGGCAGCCTGCAGGGGAGCTTGGGTGGGTGGGTGAGCGGGTGGAGGAGCAGGCCTG